CGCGCCTCCCTGTTCCCTGGGGAAGAGTCTGTTTTTTTGGCAGCTTGGCTACGAACGACTCGCCCGCTCCCGAACTCACCTGCAACTTCACTCTCACGCCGTCCACGGTCACCACTTTGTTCTGCGGAAGAGGAGGAAACGGCGCTCGTAAGTGGGAAGCGCGCCCTGGGCGCCCGCTTGGGAGACCGAGGCCCCGCTCTCGTGCCAGCCCCTGCCCCGTGCAGCCGGGAAGCGCAGCTGACCTGGGGGAAGTGGGGAGCTCTTGCATCAGTTAGGTGCAAATGCGTGTTTACTAATAAAATCCTTGCGTGCTTTTGTGATGCTTGCCCAGCATAAAGCTCCCTTGTGCCTTTGCTGGATGTTAGGAGGAGTCCGTAGCTGGTTTTCCAGCCCAGGCACTTGGCAAAGGTGCCAAGAGAAGCGCTGAAGCCCAGCAGGTAACGCGGCAGGATTTCTGCTTTGTGCTCCCCGTGGACAAACCTCAGGCGCCCGAGGAGCTGGGTGCAAGCAGCCCTTGGGAGGCAGCTTTGAGCACCGACGAGAGAGAAAAGCTTCCCGCTCTCTTTCCATTTTGCTTATAAAGCAGTATGTCTAGCACTGACGACAGGGATCTGCCCCCAGGATAAAGCACCCAATCCCGGGCTTCAGCGCAAGCTGGGAGAGGCAACAGACACTAGGTCAGCAAAGAGGCCCCCCCTCTGCACGGAGACCCCCGGGCCAAGCCTGCGCCGAAGGCGCCAACAGCTGCACTGACAGTTTTGGCCACCTTCAGCAATTTAAGGCCTTCGGATGCTAAGAGCTGCCTTGGTGACACCTCCGGGAGATGCCGCTTGTCCAGCTCACGTTCCCTCTCCGCAGCGCAAGCCTTGTTTGTCCCTTACAGGCTTGAAATGAGACACTTCTCTTAACAAGTGCAGTTGCAAACGCTACGATATAGGGTTTTGAGTAGCACATACAGCACTCAGTGAGGAAATCCCCCCGGTCGTGGGAACTGCAGGGCGGTTTGTGTCCCGCACATCGGGGCCATCCGATCCTGCAGCCGGGCTGGGGGCGCGAAAAGGCATTCGGCATCGGCAAGCTGCGGGCGTTAGCAGGGGACGCGGTCATCTGAGGAGGGTTAAGCAATCGCTGCGCCAGACTGCGAAACACTGGGACTTCCCTCCAGTGGCCAATAACGAGAAAAGCACGAGCTACTTAGGGGTAGTTTAAGACTTTTAAATAACGATGCTTGGAGCTTGGAACTGTTCTGGAAGCAGAAGACCTGTATAAACAGTTTGCTTGTCTGGAACGATTTGAAATAGAAATTCAGCCCATGTGAAACGTGAGCGTTAACTCAGAAAACGGTCTGAATAGAACAAAAAAGTGTCTTAGGATACTCTGGAAATTACCTCCTATGAGAAAGAGGCAAGCTGGTTTATGGGACATTTGCCCTAAGCAGAGCGGCTATGGACGAGCTGAAAACGCTCCCGCGGCCGCTGACGTTGAGCCGGTGGGAACCAAGCCAGTGGGAAGTGGCAAGTTTTCCTTCTTTCATGAGTTTATTGGAAGAACCTGATACGGGTCCTCTCCAAAACGAACCCGCATCCCTCTGCCCCCGAGCCCCAGCTGCACAGCACCCCTCACTCGTCTCCCAGTTCCTCCCTGCAAGCACGAAGCAGCGTAGGCAGCAGAGACGGCCAGAAAACCCAAAAAGCTGCAGCTCCGGCTCGAAAGGCAGCGCCGTCCCCTGCAGACGACAGCGCGCAGCACGCGTTAGCTAGCCCACGGCTACAGCGCTGCCCAGGGACTGATCCCCCTCGATGATTTTAAGCCTGCTGAAACGCTCTTGTAATTTATGATGCAAACAGCTCTTCCTGTTAGCAGCCAGTTTGTTTAACCAATATATCCCCCAGTGAGACAATTCAGCCAAAATTTGGTAAACAGAGAGCAGCAGGGGGATTTCAATGGGATTTTATGACCTGAACAAGCCTGGTTTGCCTAGACCGGCTTCCCGCTCAGGTGGGCAGGACCCGCTAAACCGAGCCTTTCGGCTGATTGAAAGGAAAGAGGCTTCCAGCTGTGGCTGCTGGCCCGGCTGGCCCAGGGACGGGCCAGGCTTGCGCCAAGCGACCGTCGGAGTTTCGTCCTCGCGGTCGCTTGGCCCGCGTTCGGTGGCACGTCCCCGACGGCAGCGCGGTGGGGC